ATTATATTTTTTATATAATAATAAATTTTATCTTATTTTTTTTTTTTTTTTATTTTCTTTTTTTTAATTTTTTTTTTTTTTTTTTTTTGTAAGTTTTTTATATATTATTTCAATAAAAAAAAAATTTACAACCCGCCCCCCCCCCCCCCCCCCCCCCCGATACATATTATGCGATGTTTGAACATTGTTCGATTTATTGCAAAAGTCCCATATGATTCATGAAAAAATATTAAATAAACTATTAATTTAACTCAAAATTTAAAGCGCAATAAATTTGAAATGAAAATTATTAGCTGCTACGCTTTTAAGCTCTACTGCGTCATTAGTAAATATTGCAAATCCATCTTATTTTTTTTTTTTAAATAAGAGAAGCATAGCTTAAAAAATGGCGTCTCGCTTAATTAAATATAGAGAGACCAATCGACTTGTCAAAACACTTACTAAATTAATCGATCTTACAACAACAAAAAAAGAAAAGAAAAATAAGGTTATTTATTATCTTGGTTTTAAATAATTTATGTAACTATTTAAATTAGATAACTCACTACAAGTATATTAATTAAATTAATAATTAAAGACTTTGAGAAATTATCAAATCATATTGATCTTCCGAATAAAGGTTTGGATTATTATATATTTCATCATCTATGATTTAATAATTACATTAACAAAAATAATAATTACTTGTTTAAAAGTAAAGCAATTGTTCCTTACCATCATTTTCAATACAATTTTATAGTCCATTATTATTATTGAAGACCATAGGAACTTCTAATAAATTATTTAATTTAATAATTATAAATACAATAAATTTTCAAAAAAATTTAATTAAATAATTACTGTTATAATTATTAGATTTTATTTTTTTAGATTTCATGTTCAAATTTTCATTTTTTAACAAAAATATGTATTATATAATATTTTTTTTTTGCAAATAGATTAAGCTTCATATTATAATAAAATAAGTTATTACGATCAGGATAATTTCTTTTAGAATTGCCTTTTATTTCAACATTTACATCTATAATATATAATGTGTAAATAGTTTTAAATGATTTCACTATATAAACAAATTAAAAATAAATATTACAATAAATATAATCTTACTAATAAGCTTTTCATTTTGATTCTGTTCGCTTTGATCTTTATTTATAACTTCGGTTGTTTAATAAAATATAATAAATTTATTAAAACACACCCTGTGAATTTAATAGGACATTTACTATTTTAAAATGACTTTGGTTATTTTGAATTATAATAAAAATGGTCATTTTGAGGAATTTCAAGGCCATTTGCTAACACTGCTCGCAGATACATTGGCATCAGAATGCTGTGAAGGTTGTTCACATATTTCCATTATACATGCTTTTCATTATTCTGAGTCGGGTTAATTATGTTATGGGGGTTCATATTTTGTTAATTATTGTTGTGTGAAACTTCTTGATATTAAACGTTTTGGAATATTATCGAATTGAACGAACAAATACAGATTAGCTACAGACTAAGCTATTATTCGTAAGTGATGTTCTAATTAATGAAAATTGATGTATTATTTTTTTTATTGTAGGCGATCTTTAGAAGAACGACAGCCTAATTTACCACGATCTCTAGTCAATTTTTCCTCCGGGCAAGTTGTTCTTTCAAATTAAATGTATAAAAAGGCGGGATTGATGCTTGAGTTTAAAGAGACAAGTTACAAATGATAATTTTAATAAGATAAAATTCTCCCGATATTCCCTTAATCTGATATTTTTAATAGTGTAGTAATAGTAATTTCGTAGAATCTGTATTTAATAAAACTAACTTAGAGTACAGAGCGCCGACGTTGATGTATTAATTTTTATTAAATAATTTTTTACATAATTATTACATAATTGAAAATTCCTTCTGCCATATTACTTTTGTTTATAACTGAATGCAACACTATTAAATTGTTACCTTTTTCTTTGTATTTCTTAGCTGAAAATACTCGTTATATTAAAAAAGAATATTCAGTGAAAATATTAATAATACAATGGAATGGACAAAAAAGATGATCTATAGAAAATATTTTTTCTTTGGATTTTTTCAAAGCGAGGTATTACTTAAAGCTAACATGTATATATTTATGTTTATCGCAAGTTGTTAAATTTTGAGATTAAGATTTCGGATATTTAAAGGATAAATGCATTGAATTATAAATAAGTTCATCACATTTGGCACGAACAGGCTTTAAACTAATATTTTAAAAATGAAAAGTTCTGTTATAAAATTAATACTAATTGTTTTTAAATGAAAAAAAGTTGTAAAATCGTTCTTGTAAACTCAGGTTGTTATATATATTGCCGAGGTGTCCCGTCTGGAAGTTGACAACTTCCAATCTAATTTACTATTGGAGACACCGTGAGGTGGTTAATTCCCACAAGTTTTCCTACTCTTCCCTTGACCCAAAGAACCAGGCCTCGTCCCTCACAGGAAGATCCTTAGTGGCGGTTGGTAATTAATTCTAACGATACTGCCAAATATATAAATTCACGGGAATTAAAAATTTAATAAAAATATCAGAGTCGTTAAACCCAGAATCGTGTAAACATTAATTTGTTTTGAACACCTTTAGTTTTATTTTCTAATAAATTAAGATTATATGATGCTAATGTTGTTTAAAAATAGAATAGATTATAAATGTATATCATTTGAAGCAGCGATTCCAATCTTACATGAGACTCAACCAATTGCATATGAATCTGATAAAAGAAGAAAACGACAAAGCCGGTAAAATAACGTGACAATTAATATCAAACCTTTGAATAGCCACATCCCTTATGTACCACTATTATCCTATGGTACAAAATAAAATTTGGAACTTGTACGTTCACCATGAAATAAAATTTCAAAATGTTCTCTATACTCGGTGTTATCAATATTCAATCAATATACTGAAGTAAATGCTGTATGTTTTGTTCATAGATTAAATGGTAGTAGATTGCGAAAAATTGTTCTTAAAAGTGAAATTACCGAGAAGAAGATTCGATACCACAAATTATTAAATGAAATCTAATTTTAATTTGCATTTAAGATTCATTTTTTTTTCGCTTTGCGTGATGATAAGTTGTTTTGAAAATTAAGCATATCATATGCGATAATAATGAAGTTTTATAAAAATTCAACTTAAAAGGATGCAATGCCAATTTTCGTAATTGGTTATAAAATATTTTATTACAGTTAAAAATAAAAATGAGTTTTATTTTTTTAATTTTTTTTTCAAAATATGATTTTTATTTTCATGATATTAGTTTTTTTTTATTTTAATATATATTTTTATATATATATATATTTTTTTTTACATAATTTGATTCCATTTCTCTATTATTATGGTTAAAACAAGAAAATATATGGCGTTATTAATAAAAAAAGTTGAATTTATTTTAATAAATAGATTCAAAAATAATTCATGCATCTATATTTCGTTACAAAAGTGCTTACCTAAATTTTACTTGAAGGTAATTCATTTTTTTATACTATTCATTTTATTTTGTTAATATCAAAATGAAGAAATTTAATGTTAATTAGCTTTGGAAAATTTGTTGTAGCATTAAAATATTGCTATTAATGAATGAATCTTAATAATAACTAAACAGAGAACAAATGAGTGTTTCTATTAAAATTACGTTAAGGATCTTATGATTTACTATATCACGTAACTCGATTTAATAGCAAACGACCCAAATAACCCAAACAACCAAAGTTTATCAGAAAATAAATTTGAAATTTTTATAAAATATTGAAAATTTTAAACCTGGTAGTTAATTAATTAATAGTACGTTCTATACATATTTAACAATCCATAATATTAAAAAAGACAAAAAATAATTAACTTTACCACCGTGCAACACAACTCATTACACTGTATAATGTTAGCTTTTTCGTCTTTCAAAAATGTTTGTAAAAAATCTTGAAAATTCATTAAATATTTGCTGCGGAGAGGTTTTCACATGACTCGGAATTGGTATAAATAAATTCCGAATTTACTGCATGTTAACGATCGTCAAACATTACAGTATTCTTGAATTCTCAACTTTTGTTTTAAAGACGATGGAGAAAAACTTTTTACCAGATTTATCTTGTGATATCGGGAAACTCCTTTCTAGTGGAGATAATTATGATGTAATTATTCAAGCTGGAGAAGGACAATATATGAAAGAATTTTTCGCTCACTCATTAATTTTAGGTGCAAGGTCAACATATTTTAAAGCTGCACTTTCAAAAGAATGGGCAGAAAAGACGAATAGAATTCACACCTTTAAAAAGCCAAATATTTCTCCTGAAATTTTTGAGTTAATTTTAAAATTTCTATACACAGGAATTGTTACTTTAGATAACCTAAATGGAACACAAGCGTTGAAACTTTTGATTGCAACCGACGAATTGAATCTTCAAAAATTGGGAGATTATATTCAAACTTGTATGATTAATAATCAAGCTGAATATTTAAGAAAAGTTCCGGTTGAAATTATTCAAATTATATTTCAACATGAAGGTTTTGAAAGCCTAAGAAAAATACTTTTAGAAAATATCTGTAAAAATCCCGAAGCTCTTTTTAAATCTCCGAAATTTATATCATTAGAAAAAGATCTAATCATCAGCCTTTTGAAGCAAAATGAACTTGAGATGAAAGAAATTGAAATTTGGGACTATATTCTTAAATGGGGCATTTCAAAAATATCCATGCCATTAGATATCGACAATTTGTCTCTCTGGACATCAAATGATTTTGAAGAACTGGAGAATATTCTTCACGATATTATTCCACACATTAGATGGTTTCAAATTCCTGCAAAAATATTTTGGCAGAAGATTAGTCTATTTGAACAAATCTTTCCTAAACAATTATATAGAGATATAATTGGATATTATATTGATCCCGATGCATCACCAAGTAGCTTGGTTTTACCTCAGAGACACAAATTTTCTTTGGATTCTGTTCTTATAGATAACAATCACTTCTTAGTAATTGCAAGTTGGATTGATAAAAAAGACAAATCCTTTTATAATTCTGGAAATATTCCTTATTCACTTAAACTTCTTTATCGTGCCAGTCGAGATGGATTTGGTGCAGAAAAATTTCATGAGTTATGTGATAATAAAGGTTCAACTATCATGATTTCAAAATTGAAAGAAAATGATAAATTAATTGGTGGGTACAATCCATTAGATTGGAAACCTTATGACGATGATTTTTCTAGTGATGGTAAGTGGGAATTTACATCAGATAGTTTTTTATTTTCCTTCACAAGTAAGAATGATATTAATTCAGGGTACATTGCAAGAGTGGCAAATAATATTGAAAAGCAACAAACTGCTGTGTATTACAGATCAGACGTTGGACCTGCTTTTGGTTATCGAGGTGATTTAGTTATTCAAAATGATAATATTTTTGGAACCTTTAGCGGTCATACATATCCAGAAGTTAAAATTATTATCAGTATGTCAAAAGCTATTGTAGATTATGAAGTATTTCAGGTAACGAATAATGAAACACCATAAATTAATAATTCCGGATTTATATTTGCGAATAATATATAAATTTGCAATAATTTCAATAATTTTGAAATAATTAATTTTGAAAATCTAAGTTTCTATTTACTTGGTATTTAAATAAATATGATTCATATAAAGACTGATATACACTGATATACTTTATTCATTAATGTTTGCCATAATATCATAGTAAAAATAAATAAATTAATTAAATATTAAAATATTATGGAAGAAATTATAAATATCAAATGATAGAATTCTTTGCATTTAAAGAAATTTGTTCTTATTAATTAAAATTTAAGTAGAATTCTAATAACTTTTGCATTAATTCTTTCCTATATTGTCTTTCATGAGTAATATATTAATAAAAAAGACGATTTGTTTTTTTTGCAGCCTAAAGTTCATAGGCGAGTTTATTAGAAAAAAAATCTAATAAAATTCGTTTTATTAAAATAAATCTAACAAAATTAGACTTACTCATGACTACGGATGTGAATTTAATTTGAAAAATATAATAAAGTCTCTTCCCGAACTTTGGAGGTGTGTTTAATTATAAAAAGGATGCTTCTAAAATATACCGAAAATTTCATTTCGGTTCGGATTCGGATTGGCTTTTTATGATTCAGATCAGTTTGGAACTAAATAGTTTTAATTGAAAAAGAATTAAGCTACTATTATATAATCTGTTAGATTTTAATATAAATTAAATTTTCCTTAAATTTAAATAGAAAATTATTTAACAAAAATATATCATTATTTGTCAACAAATTTTAATAACTTTATAAATTTGGCGAAATCTATATTTAAAATATATTAGTTGTTTATAACTGCAAAAATTAAGAAAATTTTTAAAATTATTGAAAAGTATTACTTTATAAACATTTTACTCGAAATTTATTGGAATTTTAATAATACTTATTTTTAAAAAATTTAGGATTTCTATTTCAATGTTAATTCGAATTTAAAAATTTTTCATTGTTATTTTGCGTGAATATAATATCGATATGTTCAAATATGAACGTGATATTACTATTTGTACACCACATGCATAAGACTGTTTTTTAGTGAAGTTTCAACAGCATTGTTATATATAAAAAACAAATTATAAATTACAAAAAATAAAAAATAGCAAACGTTTAGTCCAACAATGTAAAAATATCATTTGGAAATTTTTTTTATATCAAAAATAAAGGTCTATTATAATGTTTCAAATATTTCGTTTAATAAATTTTGAAATTTTAATTAATTAAAATATTTATAAAGATTTTGGTTACAAATACTTCTTACCTTCTATCGATTATTTCCTTGACAAAAGATTTTTCAGCAGGAGCTTCTAATCTTCAGTTTATTTCGCATAATCTGTTTTAATATGTAATAGAATCTAAAATTTATTATTTCCTTTATTTAATATTATTTCTTGTATATCCAAAGTGTATACAAGTAGTGCAATTATTATCATATCGTAATTATAATTAGTTTAGAGCACTAAGTCCCTGTCACAAAAATTAAGGTATAATTGACTCTGTTAAACTTCGAAAAAGTTTACGATCAACTCTGCCCTATGAAAAAAATCCCATACAGTTATTGTGTTGTATTTGCCAAAAAAAAAACTACAATTTCGGACAGTGCAGGGTGCCAAAACATGAAATAACCATAGTACCTGTACGTTCTAATTTTTAGCACATTTTTACTACAATATCTGAATTAGGAAAATCAACTATACTAATCAATAAAGTTTTTGTATGATTATTCCTAGCTTAAATATATTATCATATTATATTATAATTTTAAAATTATGTTATTCGGGATTATGGCCATTCGGGATTATGTTCATTCGGGATTATCCCTGCCAATACAATTTTAATATGGGCATCAATTGTCAACATTTCTGATTTTATTTTAATATTATTAATGATCATATATTAATTCGACGGTACTACGCATAGAGTCTTAAAATGTCGATGCTATCAGTTTGTACTTTACAGAAATTTGGATTTAGCGACAACATAGTAGCGAAATAGAAATAAAGTGGACGACATTTAGCCTACGATCTAGATACTATGGGTAGATCATTTAGTCTAAATGCAGTTACTGCGCCTTAAAGCGACCAATTTGAAAATTATTATGATATATTATCGAAGCTGTTACAACTTTAAAAGAAATTCGGTAATGCATAGTAAATTTAATTATATAATAGTAAATAGGTAGTAAAGATTTTGTAAATATATCGCGAAAATTTATTAAATATATAACAATTACTTTTTTAAAAATAAAGTAAATAATATTTGAATATTTCGTTACAAGCTATGTATAAATTAACAGTGGCGATCATAAATTATGCAACAAAAAAATAAATTTCATTAAAACGAAATTACGGAAATAAATAAATTTATTTTTGTTATTAATATTATAATTCCTAATACTAAAATTTAGAATTTAATTAATAAATAAATTATTTTATAAAGTATATAATTATTCGGATAATGCTGT